CTGGAAAGTAGCATGAATGACTAACAAACTCTTTTGAGACAGGGTCTCACTCTGTTGCCCAGGTTGAGTGCAGTGGTGTGATCACAGCTCACTGCAGCCTCAATCTCCTGGGCTCAAGAGGTCCTCCCACATTTGCCTCCCAAGTAGCTGGGACTGTAGGCATATGCCACCATGCCCAGATAATATTTTTTATTGTTTGTAGAGACAGGGTCTCACTGGCCCAGACTGTTCTGGAACTCTTGGCTCAAGTGATCCTCCTGCCTTGACCTCCCAAAGTGCTGCAATTATGGGCATGAGCCACTGCACATCCCTGTTCATTTTTTGTGAAGGCTCTCTTCCTAGCTGTTTTCTGCAACAGTCATTACCTTTTTCCTCTGCTTGTGATGTGATCTTGAGTCTTGGCAACTCCCTCCTCAGCCCCTTCTGTCTTTATCTTCTTTTTCATGAGCCCTTGTCTTTGCTTTTAGCTCTTAGACTGTAGCAGTCTTCTTCTCTGCGTGGTTACGGTTTGCACCCATGGATGTCTCTAGCTAGTTAATTAGAGTGGAGTTTTCAACATATTTTATATCTTTCTCAGATCCCTTTTCTGAAGTATAAGGATACCTCAAGGTACTAAGGCAGACTCCTAACCCTTAAATTCTGTCTCAAGCATTATGCGCCATTTAAATAGTTAGCATAATTAAGGCTTTGTACTTCCTTCCCGTAATTATAGATACTTCTTCCTCAGAGAGTCATGCGCCACATTATCTGGTTTTCTCGTAAGTAGTGGTACCGTCATTTTTAATATAATCCTTACTCTTGAAAAGTCATCCGAGCCAAGCTGTGCCTGATGACTTTCCCTGCAGTGAAAGGGTCTTCTGCAGGGACCTGGTGTTGCTTTATTAACACTCTTGGACACCAGGACAAATATGGGCCATTGGAAATGGAGCCACTCCGGGAAGAGGCTGCTCTGCTCTTTTGCACGGATGTCCATGAGAGCCCCTTCCTGTCACCTGCAAAATGTCCTTGAGGCTTAACAAAAGAAGGGGCAAAGGAGAATGTTCCTTTCATTAGTTTCCCTTTTGCTCGCTCCTTTTAGGTTGGCAATTAGAGCAGGTCCATTGATCTTTTCCACAGTCTAATTTGAGGCCCTATTTATCTGATTAGTAACACTCCATGTCTGAATTTTCCATATTCAATTATGGATTATCTATACTTAGTATGTAATGAACTCAATTTATGTGGGGGATAATCCTGTATAATTGGCTTGGGAATCAAAGCACTTTGAATTTAGTTGTGTTTGAATTAACTGATACTGACTTAATGAGATTTGTCCGACTGCTTGCTTCCTGTCAGGCCACTCTCCCTCCTTCCTCCCCTCCCATACCTGGAAGGCTGTACAGGGCCAGCCCATCCCCAGGGAGAAAAGCGGAAACCAACTTTCTTCATGGCCCAGGAGGAATAAGTTCAGAATTCAGAAGAGCACGCACGTGTTGCTTTGCTCGTCCCTCTGATTGTCATTTGTTGGTTTGGAGGCCCTGCAACTGAAACCCTTGATGTCTGTTCTGCCTTTCCTGACTGGCCCCACTCCTGGATTCTCTGATTTGTTTTTTTGTTTTTTGCTTTTTTGAGACAGAACCTTGCTCTGTCACTAGACTGGAGTGCAGTGATGCAATCTCAGCTCACTGCAACCTCCGCCTCCCAGATTCAGGTTCAAGTGATTCTCCTGCTCAGCCTCCTGAGTAGCTGGAACTACAGGCATGTGCCACCACACCCAGTTAATTTTTGTATATTTTTAAGTAGAGACAGGGTTTCACCATGTTGGCTAGGATGATGTCGGTCTCTTGACCTCATGATCCGCCTACCTCAGCCTCCCAAAGTGCTGGGATTACAGGCGTGCACCACTGCATCGGGCTGATTCTCTGGTTTCTTAGCAGAGAACCCCTGGGGGCCAATAAAAATTCTCTCTTGAGGATATTGATGCTTTCTTACCTCCTTACAGGGGTGAGCATGGAGCAGGGCAGAGGGCACAGAGAGCACCTGGAACTCCACTGCACCACGTAGGGATTCACAGATTTGTAGAAGCAGAGGGAGGGTATGTCCCATTGTCCATTCATGGACTGTGCAGGTGTGAAGGCTGCAGCCCAGGGAAAGGGCAGGTGTCTCCTCCAGGGTCTCTGGGAAGGTCCTGGGGGAGGGAAGGGTCCCTCTGTGCACTCAGCCCTCCAGTACCCATGTCACTGCGCTCTGATGACGGAGACTGCCTCTGGGCATCTCATTATGAACAGTGAGGAAATAGGGTCTAAAAAATGATTTTGGTATATCCTTTCTCAAAACCTTTGACAGTGGTAGGCAAGTGCTACTGAAAAGGCAAGGCTACAGGTCTCCCTGTTCCTGATGAAACAGTGTCTCAGCTTTTGTTAAAAAAAAAAAAAAAAAGACACAATAAATGCTTAAACAATAAAAAGATGTTTAGGTAGACTGATGGCCATTTTTGCCAAGTCAAACCCAGCACAAGACTGTGACATATTTAGGACCAGCATTCACAGCATTTTTTAAAATCACAAAAATCAGAACTGCTAACTGGTGAAACATGCTTCATAACATGCTGACACTGTATCTGGCCACCTTTAATGTGTTGCTGTATTCAACAGTGTCCTTATGGTTTTATTACAGTGACCCAATTCAAATCTGAGTTAAAGATCTTATTCTTTTTTCATGTACCTGGTTTAATTTACTGAGCCACAATAAACCAAATTACCCAGAGAAACCTTATCAATGGACACGGAGATAAAAGTTTCCCAAGAAATCAATCAGTTATTGAGTTTATGTGCTTTCTTATCTTCGTCTCTAAGACAGTTAAAAAAAAAAAAAAGGCAAGACAGTTTCGTAAAAAATCTAGAGACCTGAAAAATAAATTCATCCTTTAATCTTGAGTAAGTCTTACTGGTGCTGAAGAAATAAGAATGATTTTGAGAATAAATGAATGATCAACATTTTGTGATGAAGCTTGCAGCATTGACTGGCTTTCTGAAACGCTACATGTGCACACACCACACATGCAGGCATGTCCCCGCCACACCACATACACCCCCACACACACCACACACATGCACACTTACCCCACACACACCACATACCCCCATACACACCACACATGCATACATACCCCACACACACTACACACCCCACACACATACCACACACATGCACACATACCCCACACACACTACATACCCCCCACACATACTACACACCCCACACACCGCACACATGCACACATACTCCACACACTCCACACATGTGCACACACCCCTCACACACTGCACACACATGCACACACCCCACACACATACTGCACACACATGCACACACACCCCACACACTCCACACACATGCACACACACCCCACACACTCCACATACATGCACACACCCCCCACACACTCCACACACATGCACACACACCCCACACACTCCACATCCACTCACATACACACCACCACTAGAAGCGACCTTTCCACTGCCAGAAATGGACAGCTACAGGGCATGACAGGTGTACCACAACTTTATTCTGCTTTCTCCTCTCCTGGTATTCTAAGGGGACAGTGGTGGGTTCCTCTGGTCAAGCGGGATGTGGTCAGCGATAGAAGGGTGTCAGATGCCTGCTCTCCCACTTCCACGGGCAACCATGGCCCATTTAAGGGAGTGCCTAGAAGTATCAGGCTCTGCTGACCTTTGAACCCAACTCAGCCAAGGCAAAGCCGCTCCCTTCTGATGTGTGATGTGCGCCCACAGCATCCCTGGTTTCCAGTGTCACTGAAAGCCTGCCTCCAGCCTGCTTATCCGAGTGACATCTACTTTCCCCGAGTGGTTGAGATACGGAGTTTGGTTGGATGTCCACACTCACAAGGCCACGCAGCATCAACGTGGCAGCACTCTGACATAGTCATGGGGAGCAGCTGTTCCACCTGGGACTGGGACTTGCCTATACCTGCTAGGATAAAGCCAGGCCCAGATTTTTGGGTGCTGAGCTAAGAGTGATACAGCAGTAGCAGACTCATTCTCTCCCAGTCTGGAGAGGCTGGTGGGCAGAGCCCTGTGTGGTCCGCCTCTCGGGACTGTCTCAGCATTCCCAGACCTTCCGGTCCTGATTCACCGGCCACAGGTGCACCACGCCTCCCCTTGCAGTCGGCAAAGTCAAAGTCCAGGTGTGGAGAGGGCAGGCCCAGGAGGGCCCTTCACTGCTCAGGGAAGGGTGCTTTCTGTGGGCCAAGCCCTCGCCTTTGTCTGCCCCCTGGTGGTTTCTCCTCTGAGTCCCCCTCTCCTTTCAGGAAAGATACGTGGCATTCCAGGGAGATGGTCCATGCAGAGCCCTGGCATCTCACACTCTTTTTTTTGTTTTTTTTGTTGTTGTTGTTGTTGTTTAGGGTTTTTTTTTTTTCTTTCTTTCTTTCTTTTTTATTTTTTAAAGATGGGGTCTCACTGTGGTGGCCAGGCTGGTCTTGAACTCCTGACCTCAGGTGATTCCACCCACCTCGGCCTCCCAAAGTGCTAGGATTACAGGTGTGAGCCACCGCGCCCAGTTTTTTTTTTTTTTTTGAGATGGAGCCTTGCTCTGTCGCCCAGGCTGGAGTGCAGTGGCGCGATCTCAGCTCACTGCAATCTCCACTTCCCGGGTTCAAGCGATTCTCCTGCCTGAGGCTCCCAATTAGGTGGGACTTTAGGCGTGCACTACCACACCCAACTATTTTTTGTGTGTGTTTTTGGTAAAGATGGGGTTTCACCATCTTGGCCAGGATGGTCTCGATCTCCTGACCTCTTGATCCACCCGCCCGCCTCAGCCTCCCAAAGTGCTGGGATTACAGGTGTGAGCCACCGCACCTGGCCAGCATTTCACACTCTTAACCACCTGACCTAGTTGTCTCCTTGAACTGTGCCGCCCCCAGGATTGCAGCACTCAGACCATGACCTCCCCCCCTTCAGCTCCGTTTTCCAGCTTCCACTCCTCTACTCTCAGACCACTCAGCACAACACTTCTAACACCAGATGTACGGGGTCATTTCCCCCACACATTCTCCAGTGGACGCCAGCTGGGTGTGCTCAGTTCAACTCAAGTCTGAGACTCTCTACCTGGAGACAGCGTCGCATCCACAGGTTAAGGGCTCAGCCCCACAAGACCACCCTCACTTCTCATGCCAGCCACAAGCCGCAGGTTGTGACCTGTACTTCTGGCCAACAGGGTATAAACTGGAGCTCCCACAATTCCCTCCTTGGGTTTGATTGATTTGCTAGAACCCAGGAGGTGGAGGTTGCAGTGAGCCAAGATCACGCCACTGCACTCCAGCCTGGCGACAGAGTGAGACTCCATCTCAAAAAAAAAAAAAAAAGAAAAGAAAAAAGAAAAGAAATATATTATTGTACATTGTTCCAGACCCAACTGAGTCCCCTCCACTGCTACAGCTCTCCCTCCCTCCCTCCCTCCCTCCCTCCATCTGAAATTAGAGATTGTCCAGAAGCAGCCGCTACCCTGAGGCCTAGGGGACTCTGGCATTCCCCACAGAGTTGTGTGCTTCCCTGAATCTTTACATCAACGTTGATGTGTTTGGTACCATGAGCCAGTTTCTGTTCTCACTCCCATCAGGTTTGTGGTATTTATCCACATAGCGATGGGTTGTCTTGGTTATCTTCGTGGCTTCTGCTGCTGCGTTTTCTCCAGCCTGCTGATGGGCCAGCTCCCAGGGGACTGCATGTGCAGGACGTCAGTCACCACACTCCAGAGTGATGGCAGGGACCCCTGCTCTCCCGGCCAGCAGGCGAGGCAGCCTTGCTTCTCTGTGTCCTCAGACTTTCTGTGTGACTGACGGCTATTTGTTTTCACCTGCGAACCGCCTGATTTTTTGTCTTTTCCTGCTGGGTTATTTTCTCTTTACTCTAAATGGTTTTCCTTTGTCATAAAAATCTCGCAATCTGTGACTCATCACTCAATGTTGTTCTGGGCATCATAGAGAAGTTTTCAGTTTTAATGAAGGCAAATTCATTTCCTGTATGATGTGTCCTTTGAGTGTTGCATTTTAAGAACTATTTTTCCACCCTCAGGTGATAAAAATTTTCTGTATTTTTTATGGAAGTTTTAAAACTTTGCTGCTCACATTGAGCTCAGTAATCCCCCGGGATAATTTTGTGTGTGTTGTAAGATATTGTATTTAGTTTTGTGTCTGGATGGTCATCAATTATTACAGCACCAATCTGTGTCTCTGTATTTGAAGATGTCTCTTTCTGAGGTCTCTCTTTTTTTAAATTAGTCTATGGCTCGTCTCTGTGATTACCACGTTATGTGAAATACTGGGCCTGTGTTTGTCTTGTAGTTAAGAGGGGAAGTTCTCACAATTTCCCTCTTCAGAACTTTATTGGCCATTCTCAGTCGTCCGAGAGAAACAGAGCTCTCTTCTCTCTTCCTTCTCTCTCTCTTTCTCATACACATATACACACACAATCATGTAACTATATTGTATTTTCAGGTTAATTTGGGGAGAATTACCATTTTTGGTGCATATTGTCATTTAGCCTTCTATTTTTCAATAAAAATGTTACTATTTTTAATATACAGTCTTGATCATCTTATGTTAAATATATTCCTAGGTGTGTCCTATCATTTTGTCGTTATTGGAAAAGTAGGGAGTTTAAAATTTTTTTACTTAAAATTTTTTTTTCTTTTTCTTTCTTTTTTTTTTTTTTTTTTGTTTTTTGAGATGGAGTCTCGCTCTTGTCGCCCAGGCTGGAGTGCAATGGTGAGATCTTGGCTCATTGCAACTTCCACCTCCTGAGTTCAAGCCATTCTCCTGCCTCAGCCTCCCAAGTAGCTGGGACTACAGGTGCACATCACCACATCCAGCTAAATTTTATATTTTTGGTAGGGACAGGGTTTCACCTTGCTTCCCAGGCTGGTCTTGATCTCCTGATCTCATGATCCACCCGGCTTAGCCTACCAAAGTGCTGGGATTACAGGTGCGAGCCACTGCGTCTAGCCTACTTTAAAACTTTTATGCCCTAACAGTTTGCCTGTAGATTGTTTAGGATTTTCAATTTAGAGGGTTCCATCATTTGGGAATAATGGCAGTTTTGTTTCTTCTTTACCAATCTTTACATTGATTCTTAATTTTTCCCATCTTCCTGCACTGGTTAGGGTTTTTGGTACAACGGGATGGAGGTTGAGCCAGTAGCCATCCTTGTCTTGTTCCTGAATTTAAAGGAAAGAGTTTAATAATCAAGAGTGATGTTTGTTGAAAATTTCTAATACTAAATAATATTTGCCAGATGAAGGGAATCCCATTTTGTTGCCAATGTGCTGAGAGTTTACCATGAGTTTTAAATTTTAGCAAACGCTGCATCTGTTGAGATAGGTATGTATGTATGTATGTGTAAATCTATATGTATATCTATGTGTATATGTATGTATATATGTATGTATGTTTATATGTATGTGTATATGTTTATATACACATAACACTCATATACATATAACTGCATTCTGTTAGTATAGTGAATATACATGAATCTACATGAAACGACATGAATATATATTCATGTCAAATGGATTTCTAATGTGGAACCATTCTTGCATTCCTGGGATAAAACTTAGGCACAATATTTCCATATAATTATGAAAATCTACTTTGCTTTTGTTTTAAGGATTTTTCATTATTCATAAATTATATGAATCAAGCTTTCCCTTTTTCATACTGCAATTGCCAAATTTTATTTTATTTTTTAGATTAGCTTAGAAAGATGAGCTGGGAGACATTCCTCTCTTCTTCCCTCTGAAAACAAGGTTTGCAAAAGATTAAGCTTATCTATTTCCTGAATTGGATGTTTGGTAAAAGGTATAAAATCACCAGGGTCTGGTCATTTCTTTTTGCAGTCAGCAGATAGTTAAGTACAGATTCAGTGGGTTATAGGTTATTTGGATTTCCTCTTTCTTCTGAGACTATGTTAGGATGTTTTGTTTTTCTGGAATAAATTGTCCATTTTGTTTAGGTTTTCAAATTCATGTGTGTGTTCTGCCTAGTTATGTCTCTCTTAATTCTGATATTTTAATTTGTTCCTTTTATTTCTTTGTTAATAAGCCTCTGCCAGAGACTTGCCTATTTTTATCAGTTTTTTTCAAAGAACCAGCTCTATATTTACTGATCTTGTCATTGTTTTGTTTCTTGTTTCATTAGATTCCACTCTATTTTCCATTTTTTCCTTCCTTCCAAATTCCTTTTTCTTTTTCTCACTTCTCTGGTGGGTAAATCCAGTGTCCTGATGGCAAACTTGCCTGTTTTTTCAAGAGAAGAATGGTTTCCATAAACGTATAACAAACATGACATCCTGCAGACAACCTGTCTTAGGCCACATAGTTTAGCCCTGCAAAGGTGATAGCAAAACTTCTCTAGTTTGTAGCTGAGTGCCACCAGTCTGTTTCTTGCCCTTCTCAAGACACAAGACAGGAACTGTCAACTACAAGATGGCCTGATACTGATTAAGTATAGATTTAATTTCAACAAGACCTTTCCCTTTTAAAAAAATGTCCTTAGTTCTCTGTGTCCCTGTGGTCATTTGCATTCTCAAGAAAAACTAATCTTGTCTTAGATAAGGAGAAGGTTTATTCAAAAAGACACTTGCAGCTTACAGAGGAGAATCCTTGGAACTCAAGAAATGTAAACAACTCAACATCAATCGGAAAACGGCTTTTCTGTTATAGGGTAGGGAGGTCAGCAAACCTTAGCAGAAACTGAAGGGGAAGTTGGGTGAGCAAAGGAAAATTTCCAGGAAATATGTCTCCCTGTGGGATGAGCTGATTAGTGGTGCATTCACCTTTCTAGTGCTTGCCCAGGCCCTAGGGGGAAGCAGAAGGTAAGAAAGGTGCATTGTGAAAACAGAGAGATGCACTGTGAACACTTGGGCAAAATATAAATATTCTTTAGTTCAGTCTTCTCTAATTGATTGGGATGGTAACGGGTTCACCCAGCTCATTGAATTCTTTTTTTTTTTTGAGACGGGATCTTGCTGTGTTGCTGAGGCGCAATCACAGTTCACTGCAGCCGTGACCTCCCAGGCTCAACCATCCTCCTGCCTCTACCTCTAGAGTAGCTGGGACCACAGACATACCACCACATGCAGCTAATTTTTTTTTTTTTGTAGAAATGGGGCCTCACTATGTTGCCCAGGCTGGTCTCAAACTCCTGGACTCAAGTGATCCTCCCGCCTCAACCTTCCTAAGTGCTGGGATTACAGGCATGTTCAAAACTGTGTTAATAAAGTTCATTTCTCCTTGGGTATTTTTAGGCACTTTAATTTTATCACCGCCTGGGTATCCCTGCAGCACGTCCGCCTTCTCCCTGCCTCCCCCCTGCCCTGCCTTCCTTCACCCACCCTCCTCCACTAAGCTGCCTTCACAGGCTTTCTGCCCTTCCCATCTCCACCCTCTACCTCTGCACTCAGCCTTCCCTCTCCTAGTAACACTGCCCCACCCCCCTCCGCCCCCCTTGCCTTGCCTTACTGCCCCGCGCTGCCTGGATGTCCCTTCCTCTGGCCTCTGAGGGTGCTCCCTATGCACCTCTTGCAGGCAGCTCTGCCTTGCCTTGGTGCATCAGCCTTGCGAGTGGAGATGCTGGCCAGGGCATATCTGTGTCGCTCTAGACCGAGTTCCGTGGTTGCAGGCCCCCACGTCTGTCTTCCTCTTTTCATCTCTGTGTTTGCTGCGTTGTGGGCTCAATCCGTGTGCACGGGAGGAAGGAAAGGAAGCAAGGAGGGCGGGAGGAAGCTACATATTGAACAAAGAATATATTCCTGAAAACTGATAGTCACACCTGTGAGAGCCTAAAATAGATCAAGAAAACAACCACCAATATATTTTCTGGCATTTCATTCAAATAATGCATTTATGTTATATTCCAGAAAGCACATGCAGCGTTACCGTTTAGTGTGTTTTAAAATAGAAGCCCTGTCCTTCCCATGGATGAGAATCCTGCCGTACAGTTGCTCTTTTGCCGGCTGTCATGTGTGTAATCACATGACAGAGTCCCACACCCGAGAGCGGGACCCCTCAGATCCCTCCTGCCGTCCTCCCGCAGTCGCTCCCACAGGGAACCCATTGTCTCAGCTCCTGTTTCTCTTCCCAACCTTGTCAGTGGTATCACCACCACCCCTGGCTGCTCAGCTCCCAGGTGGAGAGCTGGGCGTTCCCCCAACTCCTCCTTCTCCCACCTCCTGAAAGTCCGGGGTCCTGCAGTGTCGGAACTGCAGGCAATGTGGAGACACCGCATTGGGGTGTTTGGGGTAGCAGGAAAGAGAGGGCAGCGGCCAGGTGCGTTACAGAAATAGATCATGCAGCAGCAGCAGGGGACAGGACCGACAGCCAGG